CAGCAGGATCATACTTTACGTCACTGTTCAAGTCTTTTAACTTCATTGTACCACGTAAATGAGCAGCACTTGATACATTTATAATTCTTGCTGGTGTGGAATCCTTCAAAACATCTAATAACAAATTTGTTAGTAAAAAGTGACCCATATGATTTACACCAAGTTGCATTTCAATTCCTTCGTTAGTATAGCTCTTTGGACATCTCATTACTCCTGCATTGTTTATGAGAATGTGCAATTTTGAATGCTCTGCAATAATGAATACTAATCAGCACATAATTTTAATTAACTGACTCCAAAGTTTAACATAAAATATCATTTTATACCTTTTTGGAATTGTGTTACAAACTGTCGGATACTCTCTTGAGATGCTAAATCACATTTTCTACAATAAACATATTTATTCCCAGTTGTTAATACTATATCACAACGTGCCTATCATAAAAGGAAGTAATGAAATAGAAGACAGTATCCAATAATATACAATTGCAAATATAAAAAGAAAATAATTAATGTTGAGAATGTTTTTTACATACTGTTTCACATTTTTCCATGTCTCTGCATGCCATAATGACCTTAGCACCACGTTTTGCTAATTCATGTACTACTTGTTTACCAATACCAGTATTTGATCCTGTTACTATAGCTACTTTTTCATTTAACTTCTCATCGTTTTCATAGTTTGGTCCACCAATGTAATCTCTGCAAGCAATAAGATAAAATATTGTATTTTATTTTCATAATATAAATTCTGGAAGAATAATACGTTAATTACCAGAATGTAAGTACACTACCTGAGTAAATAGCCACTACCGACAAGGGTTATACCGGTTGAGTAAAAATAAAAAGGTTTTGGAAGTGATAAACCCATTTCTGCACATCAGTTACAGTTAGGACTGATTAGGACTAGAATTGGTCAAAAATATACAAAGAGTATTGTCAGTATTCTCAAGTTCCACTCTTTATCTCATATAACCTGACATGCTATATACAGCTATGTATACATATGTATGTATACTTATATACATGTGTAGTACCTTAAAACTTAATTTAATTTCATTCATAAAAATTACCCGTGTCACAGAATAAATATACCGGAGATTCGCGTTTTCATATTAATTTTGAAGACTTATACATATGTATATAAATAGATAAGTCGTTATATGAAAATGCCCCTTATGAATCGTTATAATTGAGAAATTTTGTGTAAAAATCATTCGGGGACATTTAAATACTTGCAATTTATTATATCAATTATTTCATTCTATATCTAAAGTAACTGTAAACGTAAGAAGAAATGTTTTAAAGAATACAAATCGTTAAGTCTAATTTTTAATTAATATTATATAATTTGATTAAACCTGACGAATACAATATAATATGAAGTTCAATGACATCTAAATAGTATTACTAATAGCAATACTTCATATGAAATTATAATAATCATAACATTTTTTATAAATCCCACATTTTTCATACTTGGAATAATATATATTTTTTATAAATTCCACATTTTCCGTATTTTGAATTTGATGACCATTACATACTGCATTATCATGCAGATAAAAATAGATAGTAATTGGTATTTAAAGGCAATCTATGTATCAAATGCAAAATATATGTAATGTAAATACATGGTAGTACACTATAAATTGTCATCAATTGTATTTCTCTTGGCAGTCGTCATTTACAATGTCAGCCGTGTGACGTGGATTTGTGTTTATTTGTCGAAATAAACGTTAACGATCTAAAAGTGATTTGTTATTCAAATTAAAGAATATAAGACGTCACATTAGATTTGTTTATACTGTTTGTGTATACATCATAATTTAATATGTTTATGCATAAAATAGTAAGATTTACAAGGAATGCAAACATATTGCAAAGATCACTTTTTCATAGAAATGCTCAGTTCTCACAAAAGGTTTGCATATGTATATGAACGTAACCACCACTTTATTAAATGTTTATCTATAATTTGTTTACATATTTCCAAAAGTATTTAAACCATTTTCATTGCTAGCAAAACAGTCATCATGCATTTGTAACAAAATTAGTTACTGCATCCTCCATTACTGCTATGGGTGTTTGGGGTCTATCGAAGAAAAAAGGTGAAGGCGATGGTTTAACTGCAAAAGAAGTTTTAATAGCAAAGGCAGATGCATTGTTCGATCAGGGGAATTATAAAGAAATATATAATCTTTTGTCAAATTATAGGGTAAATATATTTTTGTATTGAATTAATATATTTACATGCAGGGGATTTCAGAAGTACATTCAACAGTTTGTTGTAGGATAGTGGAGATGTTGAAATTTTATGGCGTTTGTCTAGAGCGTTATATAAAATGGCTAAAATAGCTACTGATGTAGAAGGAAAAAAAATGATTTATGAAGCTTATGATCTACTAAACATTGCTTTAAAAATAAAAGAGGATCATTGGGCTGTACACAAATGGATGTCAATTATTCTTGACAGTAGATGTTCTTATGAGGGTATGAAAGTACGCTTAAGAGAATTATATAATATCAAGAATCATATGCTGGTACATATTCCACTGTGTATATACTTTAGATATCATTTTTTTATTGCATAAAATAGAAAATAATTGAAAGAAATCCAATGTGTGATATTGCAGAGAGCTATAGAACTTAATCCAAGAGATACAACGACTATGTACATGTTAGGAACATGGTGCTATCAAATTTCTGATTTAACATGGTACCAAAGAAAAATTGCAGCTATAATATTTGAAACTCCACCGATTTCATCTTTCGAAGAAGCTCTACAATATTTTTTAAGAGCAGAGGAGGTTGAACCCAATTTTTACAGTCACAATTTACTAATGTTAGGGAAAAGTTACTTAAAATTGAATCAAAAGGATGAAGCATTGAAATATTTGAAAATGGCAGTTGAATATCCAGCCAAAAATGATGATGATCACACTGCTAAACAGGAGGCACAGAAACTGTTGAAAGACATTTGACGAACACAGCAGCAATTTTTGAAATAACCACAACACAATGGTGGAGGGCACAAAATAAATGTAGGACTCAGCTCATACCATACAAAATATTTATTAAGGAGAAAACAGGTTTTTGATTTGACACTTCTGTGGTGTTCTTATACAAGTGTATTCTATATACATATACATATACTTGTTTTCAATACAAATAATATAATAATCTGAGTATTGAATGTGCAGTGTCACGAGTAACTAAAGGATAATAATTGCATACATTACAAGGTGATATGATGTATAACAATTGTGTTACATGATATTATTAAAAGATTAATAGCAAATTTTTATAACAATTTCCAGCTTTAATATTTTTGATACTTTTATATTTGTATATTCTAAGCAATGCATGAAATATATGTATATATTTAAAAATGGCTTAATATTACCATTCCTGAGGTAGAGATAAAGAAGTTCGTAAACTTAAATATATTATTTTAGCATAGAAACAGCATGGTGTCCCTATATACATCTATAGTTATAAAAACTGTATAATACATACAGTACTTCGTCAAATGTATAATATACAATACTGTAATTAATATTCGCAGTACAATAGTTACGATTGCACAGAATAATTTTAAATTGGGTTAATGTCGTTTATCGGTCAATGTCTTCTTCTTGGTCGAGATCCAACGGAGCTGGATGACGGTGTTCCTTGCGGGATATGTATCTGCGAAATCTTGCTTGCAATTGTATTTCTGCCAGCCTCTGAAGATGTGGTTGCGCGCGAACGTGTTGAGTTATTGATTGATTCCTTCCGATTTGCGTGAGCAAAACGTTCCGATGGATAGTAAAATGAGTCCTGTGTGCTCCACAAGGACAGAGGCAGTAGAGGAGAACGTGGTTTGGTGGCAGTGGTAGTACAGGTGTTGGTACCACACGGAATTCTGTTGGGCCATACTGGCAAGGATTCTGTAATGTCGGAATCATTCTGGACATGGTATTTCAACGATCTGAAACAGAGCAAGTGAAAAATAAAAACGTGATCATATTAAAATAAATATAATGATTTTTAATGATCAGAACATGACAAATCTGGCGAATGTCTCAAATTCATCTAAATTAATTTACTGTAAAGTTAGCGAATGTTACAAACTGTCACTTTCAGAAATGTTATCTAAATATCATTTGCCCGTTAATGAAAGTCACAAATTATATGTAACACTTACAGACGTTATCTACTCAAAATAAATTTTATCATTTCGAAATTATTAAAGAATGCGAGGAATAATTTGCTCACTTATAACACAAACTGTTTATTTAAATTTGATACGAAACACAAGTAATAAATTAATTATAGTAATAATGAATAAATGTTACGCTTACGGAGTTTGATGTAATTACGACGAACGTGGCAATGTCAGAAACGTACTCGATACGCACAGCTCCGTGTTTCAACCGAAAATAATACTCCCAAGTAGATTGGAATCTTATATAGCCGCCGCGTTGGTGGAATCGTCGTCATTGACGTGTCAATCATTGTTAATGTTTTGTACACCGTATATATTGTCCTTATACCTGGCTCGACCGGCTCCTGCGTGAATTTCCACATTCTCCCCTAACGTCGCCTTCACAATGGCGTACCTGGGGTCAGTTTGTCCCTTGCTAATCTGTTTGTCTCGGAAATATTATTACCCCCATAGTCGCAGGTCGGTTTACGTGATATTGGTCACAGTACAGTTTGTCAGCGACTGGGGTTTAGCATCGAGGAACCACGAATCAGAAGTGGGGGGGGGGGGGGGGGGAAATGTAATTTCGTTTATTACTCATCGAAGAAAGCAAATACACCGCTTAAATGTATAATTTATGTTCGTTTCTTTAATAAATAATAATTTAACGCACTCTACGAAACATGGAGAGCCTGTGTATACCACTGGGCTTGCTAAGGACAGTGATAATTGTACGCGTACTTTGATATAAGTTTATTAACGGTAGAGGTAATTTATTAAGCTATTCGCAGTGTCTTATATGTAGTCGAATAATGAAATTTATACAAAGTTCTCCTATCTCGAACTATGTCGACGCAGTGATTACTCTACAACGCGTGGCACAGGGTTTCTTGTGCGTTTCGTATCGTCGAAGTATAATTAAGTAATCGATACGATTGTCCCTCGGGACACTCTAGAAGCTTGATTACAAGCAACATTTTGCTTTGAGTATTTTCGTGCACAGGGATGGTTCTGAAAGGTCGTCGGCATTTTATGGGAGGGTGAGGGTGACGAAACGGCCGCTCTTTAGAAAATCCGTGGAAAGAAGGTGGGGAAGTTCTGCTGCTTGAATCAGTTAGGGAATTACGTGCCTGGATTCACGTAAAAGGGATGAACTACATATTGTACTATATAATGTAATCATTAGACAACAAATTTACGTTTTTAAGATCAATTTATCGGAATTCAAATAGAGATTTATGTTATGTTTCGAAATTTTTTAAGAATAAAAGTAAAATAGAAATGCTAATAAATTCTTTTTGCAAAAAAAATTCTTTCTCTGAATATCCAATTGAAATTTCTTTATATGTGCATTTTAAGAAACATTTCGTCATTTATCTTGATTACTGATTTCTACCATTGACTTCTTTGATTTTTATGTCAGTGAAAACTCCCTAATGATAACTCAAACTTTTCTAACTTCTGCCTCCTTGAAAACCATCCCTCTTCAGTCATTAAATTTCAAGTGTTTGAAAGTGACACACATTTCACGATCGCAAGAATCGAAATACGTTCACAGATTACTAACTGTAAAATTACACACTAGGAGCGTCGTTTTCTATGTTAAATAATAAAAAAAATTTTACAAAGCCTACGAGGACGCGATCGGGCGCACGGATCCTCGTTGATTCGCGACTCGATTAAATTAAGCACAGAATGCCGCTCTATCAACTGTCTATCTCTATCATGCGCGTTTAATTTTACAAAAATTCTCTGTTCGGGGTAATAGTAATTATTTTTTTTTTTTTAAACACCAAGCGGATAATTCGGATCGATTGCATTCAGGTCATCGATTCCGAATCACACTTTTCCGAGCTCTGGCAAATATATGTACATCACTCATGTCGAAATTGTAAACGTGATCGAAGCGTTTATTTGCACGTGTACTCTTCGGTGCGCTCGGTGCAAGTTTCGCAATGCACTCGACAGCACCAATGAAATTTGCATCTGCACTGCCACGTTCTAGTGAACTGGTGCGTGTTGTAGCCGCGACCGCAGCACATCAAGTCACATCCGTCAGTTCCTGAAAAATTAAAATATTTACAGTATAGTCGAGGATTTGGGTATTCAATCAACGTAACTAAAAATGAATTGAAATTTCGAAAAGATTAAATAAATTCCAATATGTATTTATATTAGGGGTCTGCGAGTACCCATAATTTACAAGCTGAGCTGAACTCGGTTCGATTGCTCGAGTCGAGTCGAGCGTTTGAATTTCCCTAGCTACTAGAAATCAACGAAACTGTCTGAAAAAAATGTGAGCTACATACTTGAAAAACTCAAACGGCTCGAATATTCGAGCGCTCGTAAAACTTCGATTTACTTAAAGATTTTTCAACATGGAAATTTTCGAATTACTGGAATATATTTCAACAGACCTTTAACTTTCGAATTACACATAAATATTCGAATTGTTCGAATTACTCGAATATTTATCTATTTACTAGCAAATACTAATGTAACTGTAAGTTAGTATATTTTTATCATCGTCATTGGGAACAATCACAGAGAGCACCTAAATGATAAAGTAAACTGTGTATCTGATATTTACCACGTAAGTACTACGTTGTATCGTATTACAGCAAGCACTATATTTGTATTTTTCTCTAATAACGCAGAACAGAGATACTCATGTGAAAACATAACGATGATACTCTGCAAGAAACGTCGTCACTGTCCAATATACAAAGTTATTAACTGAGCATGTAGAAGAAGTATGCTTTCTTCGTAAAAACATGAAAATAAAGCAGAAGTATTAAATTAGAGTCTTACATTTTTCTTCCGTACAGTTAGATTAATATTTGATAGTAAATAGGTAAATATTCGAGTGACTCGGGCAATTCGAAAATTCATCTTCAAGTAAATCGAAGTTACGAGCGCTTGAATATTCGAGCCGTTTGAATTTTTCAAGTAGTTCACATTTTTTTCAAACAATTCGTCGATTTGAAGTAGCTTGAAAGAGTCAAACGCTCGACTCGACTCGAACGACCGATCATTGTTTGACTCGAAATTCGCTAATTTATATATCTATAGGTATTTACAAAGTTCTGAAATGTGGGCACTATTTTATGACAACGGAAAAATCAAGGTATCGCATATATGTATAGGCTGTGTATTAACAATGAACCCAATTTTTATAATTATTCTAAAGGCATTTTCAAATTTTATTCAAAATAAAAGATCTCACTAAAAATCACTCGAAAACAGATAGACGTTCATAAACATTAAATTAGCTTCTCTTAATGGTTGCATTGATCGCAACGTCATATTAAAAATAGTGAGATTGTACGTAGATTTGTGTAAACATTTATAGCCTGTGCACATGTTTCATTTCAAATTTAATATTCCATCTATTTGGTACGAATTAATCTTATCTCCAGCGACTGACTCTGTACAGAACGATAATACATTATCAAAGAATAAACGTAGTAAGTTAATTATTTTTAATATTTTATATTCGGCCGTATGTTTTGCAGGTCGTAAAAGGTTCATGGTTGGAGTTAGAAATTGACATTTTCTGATTGAATTCGATTTGTTTTACCTTTACTAGTACGATTACAATATCTGCCCTGCGTTCCCAGACTGCCTTGAGCCAAATCGGGCTCGCAGTAATTAGGGGAAGGCTGCAGAAAAACCAGCTCGCTTCTCTTTGGAATTCTTTTCTGTCCCATTCCCGATCCGCCGCTAGATTTCGTTCGCTTCAACACCAAGTGCGGCCGTCGTGGTTTAATGGCTTTCTTTGAGGGTTGTCGGTCGTGTCGAGACTTCCCAACGTCGTTTGGTTTCCCTTGGGTTTTCGCGTCGTTCCCCAATATCGGTACCATTTCCGCCGATGTTGTGTGCAACTGATCCGAACTCTGAATCGGATAAAATGAAACATATATGAATATTTTCCATTAATAACTTGTTACGAATAATTTACTATCCAATTAATGTTGTTAGAAAATATCTTTCCGACCCTCTCTGAGGTAAGATGGTGGTGCATCATAGAGACCAGGGGAAATATTATTAATGCAGTACAAAGATTTCTTTAGAAGTAAGTCTCTAAAAATAAGTTACTCATCGATACCATTACCAAAAAAGAAATATACATATAAGAAATAGAATTATTATCATGTTCCTATTTATTGGAAGATTATTGTTAGTTTTTGTAGGTCACCCTAGTTTCTTAAATTGTCACATGTTAGTAATAACGAGATATGTAATAAAAATATTGCAAGACAACGGAAGATGGAACATGACAAATCAAAATGTCAAGGAGTTGCTATTCAACTCAGCAGAAAATAATGAAAATATACAGATAGTGTATAGTAATAAGAATTCACTACACTGCAATTGTTTCCGAATACAATTGTACGCTGACGTGAAACAAGTTGAAATTACCATCGTAGGGGGTGGCGGCGGGGTAATTGCCACCACGGGCCTGGCTCTGTAGTATTTTTTCATCAGAGCATCGCCGATCTGACGAAAACTAGGCAAGGTTCGCCAGCAGGTTCTCACGGTGCAAGAGCCGGACACGCCATGGCATTTGCATTCCGTTTGCAAGAGGGCTTTAACTATCTGTAAAGAAACAATGTTTACGTTAACCACGAGGAAATCGTACCCATACATAGATCGTGTAATTTCGAAACGTTTGACATTTGACGTTACTCGATCCATTTCAAATTGTATTGATAAAACGCAAATGATACAGTATTTTACATTAACAGTATCTCGAGAGATTATAAAGAATCATCAATTACAATATCTCTAAGGGAATTGAAAATTTCCCAGATAACACATGAGGCCTTGGAGACGTCCATTTTACGGCTATGTTAAGTCTAAGGCGTCTTTAAGCCGTCTTCAAGGCGTCATGTCCTATCTGGGTTGCCACTTAGTGGCCACGTTTTATTGAGAGAATTTGTTTTGTTAAATCCTTTGTTATCGACTGTTCATTTAATCATCATTTCTGTTCAGAGTACATAGCACATTGTAATTCAACTTTGATCGATGTGAACCTTCTAACCGCGTGTGCTTTTCTTTTATTTATCGTGTTGTGTTCATCGGCGTATAGTTAAAAACTGGTTTACATTTCAACTTATCGACACAAAGAAACAGAGAGAGAAAGAGAGAAGGGGAGCAGAGGTGGGTTGAAAAAAAATCGTTCGGGCATAAAGTATGCGGTGCGGCGAGGCGATCAACGTTAAGAATAAATTGTTAGCCCTGCACGTCCTATACGCGCAGCGGATCGTACGTACGGGCCGAGAGTGCACGATATATGCGAGTTTTTATTGCCGCCTCGATAATAAAGCCCATCAAAGAAGACGAAAGCACGACGAACTTTTCCCAATTAAGACGCCGACGTTCGCAGTACCTTTACCTGCGGCGCAACACGAACCTTTCTCACGAAACGTTCTTTTTCTACCATCGACCCTGCCTTCCCCACGTTTCGACTAATGAATCTTTTATTAACCCCGAATTCGAGGAAATTAATTCTCGACCCGGCCAGTTAAACAACGTTCGATAATAATTGCTGGTGAGAATTTTGAGGGATGGTTACGTTCTGGGATTGATTTCGAAGCGTATTAACTTCCTAGGTATTGAAAAGAAAATGATAGTTTAGTTTCGATAAAATTCTTGTGGATTCTAAGGCTTTATTTCAATTGAAACGGAAGAGTAACTTTTGGTATTTTTTTCGCATGTGTATTAAATTCGTATGTTACATATGGCACGTATTGACGCCTTTTAATAAAATTATATGTAGGAATGGAAAAGAAAATGACAGTTTGGTTTTCATAGATTTCTTATGGATTCTTCGGGGTTTATTTAAATTGAAATGAAACTGTAACTTTTGGTATTCTTTTGCACTCGTATTAAGTTCATGTATACAGTAGTAAGCACTTAGAAAAATTGATAATTGTACAACATTCGTTTACTAAACGTAATAGGTAACGTAACTGAAAGGTAATTAATAAAGGTAGTTCATACAGCTGTCGAGCGTACCTCGTATACCTGTTATTACCTAAAGGAAACGACTTGCAGCTTGCAGTATAATTCATGAAGATCAGTTGGTATTTACCGAACGATCTGTATCATAGATTGCACAGAAGCACGAACCTTTGTGTGGAGCTTATAGGAATGGGGAAATCATGTCGGGGCCCATTAAATGCCCTTCTCTACCTGATTTTTTGAAAGCTCGCATGGTTCGGTAACCTCAAGGTTATTTCAAGCAAAATAAAGTCTGAGACGGTTAATCTTTGAAAGGGATTGGGTACATTGCTCTACTAGAATTCATTGTGAAAAGTTTTAGGTTCAGTGTTTCAGTGAGTCGTGTTGAGACTACGTGAAAAAGAAACATGTACATTTTTTAACACAAGTGTGTCGAATAGTGGTAACTGTAATTACAATAATTATTATTTGAATGAAAATTCCAGACGTAAACACATTATTTTTAAACTAAATATCATAAATATATTTTTTGTTCGTGTGATAAAAGAAAATAATTTCTGACAGGAGGACGACAGCAGATCATAGTTCATAATGGAATACGCAATCGAAGTGATTTTTTATTGTAATTATAACTTAACAAACTAAAACTATGAAATCGTTAATATTTTCTGGAAAACACCGGTGAAATCTAACAGGAACAACAATTTAATTTCTTAGTTCAGTAAACCTATTCATACAACGTTAAATAACGAGAAACAAAAGAGAAAATGTTGTCGAGTCTTTTGAATTCGGTGAATTCAAAAATAAAGCTTTTAAACGCTGTACAAAGACCGAAAACCTGAGATTAGATTTCAAGTTCCCTTTTCATCCATTGTGAATGATGAATGGGCCGTGAATTATGAATAATAACAGGCGTTACTCACCTTCCTTCCAGCTTTATTATTATGAAGGTTCATCAGGCTCCTCGCGTCGCCCTCGACCTCCCTCGCGTCCAGAAACCTACGCGCGAACCTAACATTAAATTATAATATTAAAATTCATGCGTGTATAACATCTGTCGTGACGTGCAACGCGCCATGGAGGTTTTACACGCACGTGACACGTGCAAAGGGAGCCGCGCCGTGAACCGTCGACGAATTCATTACGGATCGGGTTAATTATCTTACCTCATTCCGTAGGTGACGTCCGCGCTGCAGCCACCCCATTCCCAGCCGTTCGGCGGTAACTCTTTCTTCGTCCTGCGAGAAAACATCGACGAGTAAGTATAATTTATCGACTTCGATTAGACTCGAATTTGCATATTTAATATTCTGCTAATTTAGTCGGAGTAAAATAAGCGTTTAGATAAAACTGTTGCGAGTTCAAAAGTGTGTGGACACGATGTAGAAGTAAAATTATTAATTTTATATTATAGGAGTAGGTAATAGTAACAGGAATTTTATTGCATGCTAGCCTGTTTGGAAATACTCACGAATAAAAACGTAACAAGCGGGATTTTTAAAGGTTTCCAAAAGTAGAATGTACTTCGAATGCAATCAAAATAAATAGGTATCTGTACATAGCAATATGAAGCAGGTAGAACTTGACCAGAGTGAACGAAGTGTAAAAACGAAGAGAACAGTTTACCTTACGGTAGCTTCGCAACCACAAGCAGTGATGTTGCCCCTGCTGCAAGCTGCGGTCACGGCGTATGTTACACCCGCTGAACTTATTGCGTACGTGAAAGCTGCTTCCCTGCTTCCTGAAATAGATCAGGGAGAAATTTCCTGTTAGTTCTAGCTTCGAAGCAGGTCTGTCCAGTTTATGCGGTAGGTAGAGAGGGTGTATAGGGATTTCAGGTTATGAGAAACGTGGTTTAAGTCCCAAGGACAACATAGTAACGATAATCAATCGATCAGAAATACTATTTCATAATAAGAATAAGAATTAATAACAGTAACTTGTATTGGGACATACTATTATGAAACAAAATTGTTTTAAGACTGTAAATCTCATTTGAGCATCTTGATTTAGTGGCTAAAACCGTTTTGAGCGAATGAAACCCTAAATACATTGTTTTTTTCCCAATAAGGTAAATACAATATAGAATAATATCAATCAGGTTAGATATTACATTCGAATTAAACCTACAGTCAAGTTCTATTATTTAATCTAAACTAAATACTTGTTAGTTTGATTTTTGAAATTAAATTGCTAATACTTAAAAATTTATGGGATTTCAGTATGAATCTAAAAGTAAACATAAATGTAACTTTCTTTAAAAATAAAATTAAACAAATATGTAAAAAGTGTCAAAACTGTATGATTAATTAAGTAATAGGTTTGAATTAAAGTACAGTAATCAACAAAATTATAAAGTTTTTTCTTATTCTTTAATAAATCCGCCATTTTTATCATCATGGATTCATAGATCACATGGATTCATAGATGGCGCACAGTGAACGTATAAATTATTACTTACATAAATAGATATTATTAGATGTACCAATAAATAAGACATTATTTTTTGTCAAATTTACATTTTATTTCTAAAAAACCAAAAATGCTGATTTCCTTAACAATTTCTAATTATTATTCATTAAAAATTTGTTGCTGTTTTGCTTTAAGTCATACCACCCAGATAGCAAACAGGCGGCTTAAGACAGCTTAATGACAGTTTAAAGGTGCCTCAGGCCTAAAATAGCCGTAACAGGGGCATCCTCAAGGCCTCATGTGTTTAGGCATTGTTTTAGTGAAAACGTAATTTCAAAATTAACAAACGTGTAAATTACAGTTTAAAAGAAACGTTAACTACTTTTACAATGTTTTCATATCCTTTTCAACTTAATGAATCCTTACATTGAGAAATACATTTTCTGTCGTCTTGGGTTTCGTTGGATAACTTAATGATTAGGTTGCAGGTTTTTATTCATTTCTATTAATATACAATATTATATTCTATAATTTATTATAATATTCCATCATTGTTCTCGAATTTCGTGATTCTGTGCATATTTCAATCGGCTTGTCTGTACATGAAACACATTTTAATCCACGCGTGGCACGAAACCGATCTACTTCATATCGCCGACAGGCATGATACATCAACGGCGCAAACCCACACTGTCCCCCGGCGTTTCCGTCACACTAATTTACAGCCATCCGACACACGTACGGCCGCGTAAAGCGCGAGGCACAATTAATTACCGGCGCGCAGCTCTTTCAGCTCGTTTGCCATGGCTGAATGAGTTACCGCGCGCGCGTTCCTTTCTTCTCGATGTGTACGTTGCCTGTTTTTCTTTTTTCCTTTTTTCTTCTTCTTTTTCTTTTCTCTTCTTTTCCACCGAGTCGGTCGTCGTTCCAGACACCTACGCGATACTGTCCCGTGTCCGAGTTGATTCGCGTTCCCTTGGCAGCCATCAACCTCGGCAGCCGGCTTTAATTCGAACGTCAGGATCGCCTCTCACACCGACGCCTAATTATCGCCAGCAATAAAACCTGGCGAGCCTGTAAGCCGGCTACGTGGCGCGATTACACGCTTTGACAGCGCAATTTTCACGGTCGATCGAATCTTATCATTGGTCCCGATCTTTCTCCGTTGCTCGGCTCGCATGAAAGATTGTTTCAATTTTTTAATCCACTCCCGAACACGATTTTTCATGATTTTACGGTGTACATATGTATATACGATCTCGTTCATAATTATTTATTTGGAGAGTTAAATGAATATGAAGTATAATGAGTATGTAGACTGCGGATTTTATGCATTTATAGACCATAGGGATCCGTGAAGTACAATGAGAAAGAAAATTTTCATCAGAAACATTTTTGTTTTATTCTGAACTCGATAAGATACTTTAGAAATTAAAGAAATTCCTAGAATGGCTCTTCTCTTTATGGGTTAACTTAGAAAATGTCATTTTGCATAAAAATCCGCAGTAGTAATGAGGAATTGGGAAATTATTGATGGTCTGAAATAAATGTTGTTTAGGGAATATTGAAGCTTAGAGGGCGAAACTTTTAGGTCAATATAAAGTAGTGAAAGGGGCTTAAAATATATCATTTTTACGATACATCATACTTTCTTCATACAGGACCAGACGTCCAAATGTGCGCTTTCGTTTATTTTTCAAGCATTCACACATTTTATTAGGTGTATCAATAAGATAGTCCACTATTTTTTTGGCAAAACTTTGTACTCATTTCGCAATAATTCGAATACCTATCCTATTTTAGCACTATTCGTCATTTATTCCGATCCCCCTCCACCATTTTACCTAACCAGAGGATTGGAAAGATATTCCGAACTCAAAATGTATCGCCACTATATTGGAATTACATACAAGTGAATTTACTTATTGATGCACTTAATATATCGGAATCATCGTATGCGATAATGAACGAAAAATATTCATTTACAAATCGGCCATTCCACTTTTCCGCCGTGCTCGATATTTCAAATCGACCGTCGAGCAAACAAGCACCGTTTAAGTGCATCATCGGGCATACCAAGAGTGTTTAGTATCGTCGTCCATTGCGACAGAGTAATAAAATCGTCGGCAGAAATCGACCCGTCGAGTGGCGAGAATCATTACGCCGCGAAATTTCGAAACGAACCGCGTCTCATCGCGGTCTTCACCGTTTCCTCTCTCTTTCCTTCGCTTGATTTGCTCTTTATCGGCCGGCAAAGAAGGCATCGAGATTGAAAAGATCCGGTTAACTGTAATTACAGCGGATCTTCCTACACGCGGGTTGGTTGCCACGATAATACTACCTGAGTCGATGTTTGTTATGCCCACGGTTATAATTCATAGTCACCGACACGCGCGCTCGTCCGGCGACGTGCATATTGTGAAAGTAAATATACCTACGTGCACGCACGCGCGCGCGCGTACGAGCACTTTCACGAGTCATTCGATCTCATTTTTCCCGTTAGCCGCGATCACGATCGAGCGCGATCTCCGCCGTAATTATCTCGCCTCCCTATTGAACCGACGAAATTGTTTTTTGAATAAAAAGCTCGGGTTTAATGGCTTACGTTTCCTTTATGGCTACTGGCTCAGAGAATGTGACCCGAGATTCTACAGGATGGTTCAAAAGGAGTGGCCGATACTTCAGGATGATATTTATGTCGAGAAGAAATCGACATTCGGGTGAATATTTCATGAATAGAATGAGAATTTTTAGGCGAATTTGATTGGGTAATAAGGGGTTACGATTGCTTTCGAAAATATTGTTTTCTCTTCTTGAATCGCCAAGTATATTGAATGATGGAATTAATTTATCGGTCACTAAATTGTAGGGTTTATTAAGTTTGACCAAACTTCGTCCGAAAAATATAAGATTTACGATTGAATTTCATATTTAATAAATTCTTTGCTTGAGCGCAGGACGTTTATAATCAAGCGTCGGTGACTTCAACAAGGGCGTAAAACATTAAATAATGCCGCAGATCGTAAATAGTGCACTATGAACGTAAAAATCTAGTTTGGTCGATGATGATAAATTCTTTGCTGACACTAGATAAATCCTGAAGACTGCAAGATGAAAATATCCTGTACTATATAAACTTTTCAATTCGTTTTCGTTTTTCCAACTGATAGTGTGAAAATCTTAGTCATGTTACATTTATTATTACCACATATTTTGGTAAGCTATTACGTTTTTACATTAGGAAATCAGAAGGAAAAAAGATCCAGCGATTACGTATGTGTTTTCCAGTAACATTAAATCGAAAGTATAATTGCAATTGAGATAACTTAGTGGTTTTTGACTAAAAAAAAATGGTAAGTCTGGATGGGATGTAAGTCTTGTCAACGAGCTCTGAAAAAAATGTATAATGGGTACATCCTCCATCCATTCCAGGAGAACACTAATCGGGAAGATATGAATAATTCATGTTTAATAATAATATAGAAAAGTACGCTCGATGATAGGTGCATCCACTTTACATGCATTCGAAAAGTGCCGCTTTCGTCTTCACACATCAATTTTGTTCGGGGGCAGGTGTGTTTCATTAAAATTCTTATGGGCGGAAAAACCTAAATCGAATTTCATTTTTGCTGATTTTGTTTCGGTGATTCTCAATAATTTAAAAAGCAATTTTGTTGCAGAAATTTCAATTGAGTAGGGGCTGGGGGGCATAATGGGGAAGCTGAGGAACAATGCAAATAAAGCGATTATTGTACCTCTTAATTAAGTCTTTATGAATCACAATACAATTATAAGTTAACAGTTTAGTATTATGTACATGCTTGGGACAATTGTATAAAGTTAGATTTTTAAGTTATTAAGCAGTAAAAAAAACTAGAGAAAAACATTCTTGTCCCTCCTACGGGGTAAAACGGGGTACCGAAAATAGAGCAAGATGGTTTGCCTATGTATTCTCACATTGTATATAAATATGTTTTGCTTCAGAATTAGATATTATTATTATTATTTATTTTATTATTATTCATTAAATTTATTATTATTTTTGACCTGGCGTCCAGGGGACTAGAGGAGACGTAGGAAATGAGTCTTCGCGCCATTACATTAAGAACACGTTTATTGTAAAACCACTGCGGTTCTATATGTATGTTCAATTATTAATTATAGTTAATTAAGTGCCTTTATTCCAAATCCTAGGGTAAGATCCATCAATGAGATATTCCATTATTCCCCGTATCAAAGACCCCATCTTGCTTCCAACTATCGTTTTCCAGAAATTAATATATTTCTACAACAAATAAAAAGATATTATAATTCTGAATACTTAATATT